CCAGCAGGCTGTGCGCATGACCTGCTGAAATCCGGTGGGCACATAGCATCCCGGGGCACTGGGCTTGGTGCTGAGCCTCGTCACAGTACCAGGTAGGGTCTCCTGGAGACTTCTCCTCATCACCTGCCATCAGGGAGTGTGACCTGTGCCCCCCTGAGGGGACCCCAGCATGCTCCTCCTGGCTCCCAGTGAAATCCAGAGCATCTCCTGGGGCTGGCGAGCGCTGCCAGGGAGGTTTTGGGATGGGGACAGGGAGGCAGGAGGCCTCGCACCATGCTTTGCCTCCCCAAAACAGAGGGGGGCTGCCTGTGTGAGCTCAGGGGGTTCATGTGCTTGCTGTGCCTCTATCCCCAGGAGCAATGTGGACAATATTGTCACAAGGTCCTGCAACCTGTGGTGGTCCACAGCAGTGGAGGGTTTTGGAGGCTGGGGACATGATGCTTACATGGGTCCCAGTCTTGTGTGCAGGGCTTGGATGTTGCTGGCCTGAAGTCTGGCTGGGAATAAACTCATTTGTTGAACCCCTGGGTTTGCATGGCTAAAGCTTGTGGGGAGGGTTTGAAAGCCAAATGATCCTATCTGCGCTGGGTGGATGCTGAGAGAAACCTGTTTGGCGTATTATTTGTTTGCATTTGAATAGGTGCCTGGAAACTGGTTCATGTCACCAGAGCTGTGACCGACTCCCCTCCTGCTCTGTGCCCATCCCCACCTGTGAGCCCTGGTATCTCCAGGTCCTGCCGAGTGCTGGCCCTCCCTGACCTGGTACCGTGGTGCTGGTATCATCATTAACCCAGGAGAGGTGTTGAGTCCAGCCCTCTGCAGATGCGATGCCTGGGAGACGGCTGTGGGGTTACGGTACCCTTCCCTCTTCCCGTGGCAGCTACGTGCGGCCTGGGGAAGCTTTGCCTTGCTGCGATGCTTGGACCCATGACCAGCGTTGGACAGGGTTGGGCTGCTGGGGGGCCTTGGGTACCCCAACAGGAGGTTTCCTGGCTGCTTTAAAGGCACTGTGGGTCTGCTGAGGAAATGGCAGAGGAAAATCGCTCTTATTCCTTGCTGCCTCCAGGCTGGACTCTGCAGCGGGGCATCATTTAAACATGCCCCCTCCATGCAGCCGGGGTGAGCCTGGCCCGGCCATGCCTGCCTGGGGACCGAGGGGCTGCCTTCCCCCTGACCCCTGCAGCGGTGCTGCTCCTCCGGCCTTGGCTGGCCTCAGCTCAGACCAGGACGTTCAGCCTGGCGCTGGGCTGAAATCCCGGCTGGGCTGCAGGGACTTCCCGACAGATCCAGCTCCGGCTGCATCCTCCCCTGGGATCCAGCTGCGGGGGCTTTCCAGCAGAGGAGGAGAAACTCCCTGCTGCTGGGGCTTACAGAAAGCAAGGGTCACTTCTTAATTAAGAACCAAATAAGTGAAACAAAAGTGAAACTCATTGGTATTTTTGCCACTTGTGAGCCTCCATGTGTGGCTGCCCGGCTAATCTGGTGGTCAAGGCACTGACAGGTGGTCACATCAGGGTGTCTGGAGGTGGCACAGAGGACAAGGGACACCAGCTATCGAGTCCTCCTTGCACCTCCTGGGTGGCTCTACTTGGTGGTGTCCTTGCTTTGGACATGCCTCTTCCTACGATTTAGGAGGTGGTGGCAGGTATGGTCTGTCATCTCCATCCTGTCTCACCTCTGTGAGTCACCACAGCTTGCTTGCTGTCCTTTGTCTCTGTATCTGGGTGTCTTCTGGCTCCTGCCCTGCTTTCTGCCCACTCATGTTTTCCCTTAGCTTTGCTTTAGCCTGGCTGTGGGCTGGCTCTCCTCTTGGCCTGCTTCTTATTCCCTGACCCAGGTGTCCTCAGAAGCTGCATGTAGATGTATGGAGGTCTTGATGACCCGTTGATCCAGGTGCCCTCAGCGCCACCTCACAGCCTCTCTTCTGCCCCATGCCTGATATCCCTGCTTCACCCCAACCCTACATCTCTGTGCACTCACGAGCTGGGCACAGCGATGTCTCCCCAACACGAGGAGCAGGGACATCTCCCTCCTGTGCGGCACCCACCCATGACCCCCTCTCCCACAGCAGTACTGGGGGAAGACGCGCACCCCACTGTGGGATGGGCGCTCACTCAAAGAGCTGCGGTCAACGGCTTGATGTCCAAGTGGAGACTGGTGACAAGTGACGTTCCTCAGGGGTCACTGTTGGGACCGGTGCTGTTCAACATCTTTGTGGGCTACATGGACAGCGGGATGGAGCGCGCCCTCAGCAAGTTTGCCGACGCCACCGAGCTGTGTGGTGTGGAAGGGATGCCATCCAGAGGGACCTTGAGAGGTGGGCATCTGCGAGCCTCATGACATTCAACAAGGCCAAGTGCAGGGTCCTGCCCATGGCAGGGGGGTTGGAACTTTAAGGTGATCTTTAAGGTCAAATCCAACCCAAACCATTCTGTGATTCTCTGACCTCTGCAAGCTTTAGAACCAGCTCGGCAGGGAAGGGTGCAGCCCAGCTCCTGTCACCCCCAAACCCTCACGGTTCGGAGTGGTTTTGGCCCAAACCGGGGTGAGGAGGCAGGGCTGCACCCCTGCGTGAGCAGGCGGCTTCGGTGCCGTGCCCCGGCCGGG